TCCATGGCCTAAGTCTGGTTGAAGCCCTCAAAGTCACTCGGTCAAAGATCAAATGCTGCAAACTGATTGGCAAAGTCACGAGGACCACAGACTGCGAATCCTTGGACATAACTCCACGCAGCAAACGAATTCATTGGAACGTAACTGCAGAACAATGTCGCAGCCTTTCCTGCAATCTCCTGTTCTTGCAATGTTTGGTGAAGGAGTAGTGAAGCACGGTGGAGCACAAGATTTGTCCCTCTCTTTGATGGAAGCTGCTCCAAAACCATCCTTCGTAGCTCCTGGCCAAGAGTAGAATGAGGCTCAGCAGGCAACCTTCACCAGGCTCACGTCAAGCTCAAGCGTGATCCACCACCAGGTAGCATTGGCCAAGAACTGCTAGCCAATCCGTGCAAAATGTCTTGTCTGGTTACAGTTTTCATCAACATATCTCTGGAAAAAACATATTAATTCAATCTGAAAACTTGGGCCTCTGATATCGATAGTTGCACTAAGTACTCATCATCATCTCCAGTGTGTGGTGAGGTCGTCCAAAAACTACCATCTGATTTCGCGTTTGCTCGGGCAGGTCGCAACAATGGCCGTTTTATTCACCTTTTTCCGTGGTGTTCACTTGCTGGATTACCCTCTGGTAAACTAACATAGCTATGGAAAATCACCATTTTTAATGGGAACATCTACTATTAATGGTCATTTTCAATAGCTACGTTAAATTACCAGAGGGTACAGTACTTCAAGATGAATAATTGGTCTGTCAATTTCAACTGCACTTTCTCTATATATATATAGTCATAGTGTCATATATATATATATACATCAAAAAAATCCATACCCAGCTGCAAGATTGCAAAAGGTGATTCGTTTCTCAGCTATATCATATTTGTATATAGATTTGTGAGTAGATATCCCCAGATCCTGTTGGAGACCTCAGCTCTTCCGCTCAACTGTTCCCCAAATTTCTGGATAGTCCCCACTGAGTAACTGTGGTCATAAATGGGGATTTCTTGCTTAGCATAAATGCGGGTAGCCCCAAATGGATGGTTTATAACGGAAAATATCATCATTAAAATGGATGATTTGGGAATACCCCTATTTCAGGAAACTCCCCATTTTGTTGGAATACATTGTAATATCCTCCAAACTGTGGACGATTTGAGTATTGAAACAATCACGACAATGTCAGGTACCGAAAAAAATGGCCACCAATTGTTCAGCGCCCCATGGAGGTGTCCTAAGTAAATGGGAAAACCAATGGTTTGGGGTACCCATATTTACCCGTAAATTAGCAGGGTAACCCTGCCATTCATCGGGGTTGGAAATTTGTTTCCACTAAAAATATCTCAAAATGGGTGATTTTTCAGGGTCAAACTCTTCATTTACCAGAGGGTAACTCACAAAATTCCATCAAGATCATTAAGATCTCGCATTTTATCCCAATAAAACCCCAAATATCCCAATCCCATGATATAAATCCCATGAAGATTATTCAGATCCCACTAAATCCCGAGAAGAAAAGCACCAACCCATCCCATTCGATCGATCCCATGATTTTCCATCCAGGAATCCCAACGAAATTCCATCCAGAATGCTATCCCCATCATAAAACCACCCAAATCCCATGATATACCCTCTGGTTATGTCAAACATAGCTATGGAAAATTGCCATTTATAGTGGATTTACCCGTTAAAAATTGTGATTTTCCATAGTTATGTTAGTTTACCAGAGGGTAAATCCCATACCCTCTGGTAAACTGTCACAAAACGAACTGGAAAGATCCACCATGCTATTTTCATGGGTAAACTATGGAAAGATCCACCATGCGGAATTTTCATGGCAAAACCAACTATTTCGACTGGGCCATGGCTTCAATAGCTTTGTGTTGTTAAATTACCAGACGGTAAATCCCATACCCTCTGGTAAACTGTCACAAAACGAACTGGAAAGATCCACCATGCTATTTTCATGGGTAAACTATGGAAAGATCCACCATGCGGAATTTTCATGGCAAAACCAACTATTTCGACTGGGCCATGGCTTCAATAGCTGTTTGTTAAATTACCAGAGGGTACCCTCTGGTAAATTAACATAGACCCTGGCATATAGGACTTGGAAGATTAGTTTCCATTAAAAATGGGTTATTTTCAGGGTCTATGTTTATTTACCAGAGGGTAAATCCCATAAGAATCTCCCACTTTCCTGCCTGTTCCCCTGGCGCGTGCTCGAGGGGATCGATTGCGCCGGCGGTGGGGTAGACTTTCGAAGGCGCCTCAGATAAAAAGACAGTGGGGAAAACGGGGACCATTTATTGGTATATATGGGTATGGATCAATACCTATAAATACCATTTTTAGGGGGATGAACATCCATGAATCCCAGCTATTTTGATGTGAACTACAGGGGTACAAGGTTTTGACAAACTGCCATATAAATATATGGGCTTACTAATACTAATAATCCCAATATCCCAAATATCCCAACTAATACTAATAATATCTTAACTATTACTAATACTCATATGTTAACTAATCTGGCTGGTGGTTGAGCCACCCCTCTGAAAAATATGAGTTCGTCAGTTGGGATGATGACATTCCCAACTGAATGGAAAAATAAAAATCATGTTCCAGACCACCAATCAGTAATAATATTAGGATATATTGGGATTATAGTATATGTTGGGATATGCTATATACATCTATATACTATATTACTAAAATATCCCAATAATACTACAATATGATATTGGGATTCATATCCTATTATATCCTATTGTGGTTAAATGGGACTGAAATTCTATCTATTCAACCATTTCTTGGGATTGATAGTGGACTTCCATGGGACCTAAGTTGGTTTATATCCTATATCCTAACTAAAGTTTATGGTAGATTGTATGTAGATATGAGGATATATCTAGTCTACGTAATGGAGTTTATAGACCAACCAGCATAACTACGAGGCAACACCTTGCAGTTGTACAACCAACACAGACTCTGCGGATACCCAAGTTTGAGGAAAGTAGTCTTCCAACTAATTGGCAGGGTCTACGTTAATTGGGGGGATGGCAGTATGATTGTCACAGAAACGGACATCTAAATGATCGGTTTCTGATGGTTTAGAACAAGCTTCTCTGGGGCTTATAATGGATATTAATGGATATATCCACAGTTGAATGGGTCCAGCAAAGATAACTGGGGTCTATCGCCCACCAAAAATTGTGGGGGTTCAAGGTCCAGGCGCAGATTCAATTTTTTTCGGGTCAGCAGTGCGCTATTTTTCACCAAACCCATTTGAGGTGGAGCAACCACCATGCCATGACAATTTCCTGAAGTTCTCTTTGAAAGCAAGTTCTTGTGGAAGCCCATGTTCAGCTCGGGGGGTTCAAGGCCCATATCCTTAATTTCTGGCCATTCAGATATCTGACAAAAGAGATCAGCAACCGCTCAACGGTTCTGTGAATCTTTGGGATGTCGGTATCTGGGAAATCGACTCACTATCATACTTCCCAAAGCTGATTGAAAACCCAGCAAATTCATGTCTTCCCTCAATATGTGAAGCATCATTCGGTGGGTCATAACACCATGTTCTGCTACGTTACTTCCTGGTGATTTCAAGCTCCGGCTCTGAAAATTCCGCCACAATGCCTTCTTCGTCCAACAACCGCTGCTTGGGACAGATCTAAAATCTGGTTTGCAAAGACACGACTTGAAGTGTTTCATTGGTATCCTCCGGTAACATACGGAGGCTATGGGAGATCACCATGTGAAATTGCATTGCTGATTTTTAGATGTTAATGCCCATTTCTCATTGCCATGTTTGATTACCCGGGGGTACATATGCGTAGTGATAGCAGTGATACCATGCTGCAACTAGCAATCAAAAGGAGGTTGATAAGCACTACCCTCTGGTAAACTAACATAACTATGGAAAATCACCATGTTCAATTGTAAAATCCACTATAAATGGTCATTTTCAATAGCTATGTTTGACATAACCAGAGGGTACCCCTATGATGAAGGGAAAAGACAAGTGTCTGCCTTGGTGAAATTTCACGGGGATTTTTTTTAGGAGCTATTCCTAGCTGGCACTGCACCATGAAGGAGTGACAAGGTATATCACCAAGTTAAGTCTTTAATTGGTACCCTCTGGTTATTTAACATAGCCATGGAAAATCACCGTTTATAGATGGTTTACCTATTAAAAATGGTGATTTTCCAGGGCTATGTTAAATAACCAGAGGGTAATACAGCAAATAAACGGTGCAGATATTCCACTGGGTTGGTGGTTGACCTACCCCTCTGAAAAATGATGGAGTGAAAGTCAGTTGGGATGATGACATTCCCAACTGAATGGAAAATAAAACTCATGTTCCAAACCACCAACCAGTGAAGATGGCTGATATTGATGTGAATCCAAATCTATATGTTTTTGTTATTGATAATTCAACGGTGGATATACCAACATATAAGCCGCATTAATTAATCCACCAGGAAACCATTAGGGATGTCGTTAATATAAATCCTGGCATATCATAAAATTATATGATTTGGGATTTCATTAATATAAGTTGGCACATAGTACATGATATTCATTACCCTCCCGCAAACGTTTACAGTTCGATGTGGAGTTTACCCACCATGAATGTAGATCATGTTCCGAGCGGGAGACCATAGCTTTTCCACATCTGTTTAAGCGTCGTTATTCAAATCAAAATTTGCGGAGTTTGATGCTGTGAGTCATTTTTTAGTTACCTATGAAATTACCTATGAAATTACCATAAATTACCATAGGATCCATATGACACATCCAGCATCATCCAGCATCATCCAACTTCGGATGCCCTTTGGCGACGCGGCAATTTTTTCCACCTGTCCAATCCCCCGTCCACTCCGAGGCGCTGCAAAAAGAGATTCGTGAAGATCCTGGAGAAGCGCTGCCACTGGTGTTTTTTTTGTGTTCGGTGTTCCAAGCAATGATAACTGGTTGGTAATGATTAATATTGGTTAATCATGTTTAATAATAGAAATCAATCTGGTTGGTGCTTGAGCCTACCCCTCTGAAAAATGATGGAGTGAGTAACAGTTGGGATGATTATTCCATTCCCAACTGAATGGAAAGTCATAATCCAAATGTTCCAAACCACCAACCAGATAAGGGTTTCCTAATGGTTTTTCGAGTGGAAACTCCCAAAGTTTCACCTGGAATTTCTCCAGTTTCTTTCAAGCCGTGGGGATGTTCATGGCTATGGGATATGAAGGGAATATTCAGGGGACATATGGGGACATATTAACTTTCATATACTATCATGGATGTATCTGGGTAAATTATATATATACGAAAAATCACTGACCTGAAATTGAAAATGCTGTTTTGGGATAGTTACCCGTTACCCCCTACTACCTATACCATTCCAGTGAGGGAGAACAGTGAGATCATGGTCAGGCTGGGAAATCTTCGTGATTTTACCCTGTTAGGAACAACCCTGAATTTGTTGAGTTGTTTACAAAAATCCTTCACAGATCAATTGGATGTGATACATGGTTATATGGATACGAGAGGGATATTTTTATGACAGAGAAGTTGATATGTGAATATCCTAGTGGTGGATATATTTGATGGAATGTATTCTACGGATTACTATAATGAATACCTTTATAATCGTATTTACATACTAATATATATATATATGAGTATACATATATATATATATATATGAGTGTATATATATATATATATGAGTATATAGTGGGATATACTGATATGATTGGGGATATGTGTATATATATGGATATTTGTACATGTATATATATATATATATGTATATATATATGTATATATATATATGTGTATATATATGTATGTATATATATATGGCTATACGGATGTAAGTGTATATATATATGTATATATAATGGATGATGATCCTCCTTCCCATTCCCTGGGGGGGGTTGGGGTGCCCCATTTTGTAGTGAACCAACCCCTGTCTCTACAAAATGGCTCTGGTACACAATCTCCATCCTACAAAATGGTCTGTCTATAACCCATGGCTCTACAAAATGGTAGTGCCTGTCACCTGTTTTGATCCACCAATATTTTGACAATTTAGTCAAAAAATGATCAAACCAGTGCATTCATGATTTTATAAAACATATAAAAATCCCAGAGCCATTTTGTAGAGCCTCTATCTTGTCAAGACCTCAGCGTCAACTGCCTTTTTCCCAGTGCCATTTTGTAGGGTTTTTACCCTCTAGTCGTCTTCACTCCTCCTTTTCGGAGGTGGATCCATTTTTTGTTCATGCAACTTTTGCAGCATGAATATTTTTCTATTTTTTTGCCAACAATGTGCTGGCAATCCTTCTGAAGATGGAAACTTTTTCCGGTTCCAGTATGTTCCAGTCACAAAAACGGTTCCAAAGCAAAAACGAAGATCAGGAGAAGAATGCTATTTTGACACAGATCTTCCAGGGAACAATCGGTATCGAAGTTTGGATAAGGCTGAAGAATCCGAGAAGATCCAGAAGGATCCAGAAGGAACAAATTCAATCACAATTCTTTGCCACTGCTCTTTTCAACACAATCATAAAAACAGGGTCTATCTTCAGACCTACACCAGTCTACAAAATGGTCGACTCTAGGCAGCAGGCCTAACCATTTTCTAGAAAAAACATACCCCATGGGTTATAGACAGACCATTTTGTAGGATGGAGACTGTGTACTGGAGCCATTTTGCAGAGAAAAGGGGTGGTTCACTACAAAATGCTCCCCCCCAACCTCACCCATGAAATGGCAAGGGGGATTTTGAAAGTATTTGGGGTCTAGGGGTTTCTTGTCATATGTTCCATCAGGTTGTCGTCGTGTGGATGTTGTGGGTGGTGTGTTGTGGGGGTTGTTGGATTGGTGCAGTGTTTGTGCGATCAGCACCAAGCATGCGAGGGCCAACATGGTGGGTTACTGGGACGGCGGGGAAATTGAAATGTCCTAAAGTGTTTCCGAGCCAACCATTGCAAACACAAATATGCACTTACAAAATGGTACATTTATTGAAACGATGGTTTCTCTACAGAATGGCTAGCTGATTTTTCTTTGTCAATGACTAATTCACATTTTTCAAAACCACCAAATCATACCCTTAAAAACATCTACAAAATGGCTTTTTGTTTGTTACAAAATGGTTTGTCTTGGTGCCCAAAAATGATCATGCCTTCAAAACAAAAATTATAAAACCAGGTAAAACCCACAAATTACTACAAAATGGCATGCTCGACCCCATTTAAGGCCAACACTTCCCATAAAATGATGCCATATAGGCACCCCAACCCCCCCATTCTGTGGAGGAAATGGCAAGGGGGATGGATGATGGGGATTTCACATGGTATCCTTTTTTTTCGGTGTTTTTCATCATTGAAAATTGAGATAACATGAGATAACAAACAAATAAAAGTAATGCTTTTCCATAGGGGTTTCAACCACCTATCAGGATCCATCCAAGCTCAACATGTTCGACATCAACTGCCATTGTGGGGTATACGGTATACCCTATGACAAACCCAAATATCAGATCTTGTTGAAATTTCATTACCGGTTAGATCCCAATAAATTCTCCTTGGTTCTAGATTGTTGCCAAATGATCCCCATTATAGTTGATCACATCTCCATTCCCAAATCATACCCTCTGATCCCTCTGGTCATCAAGCGTGGCTGGGAAATCCCGCTATGGCCATGAAGGTTTTCCCGCTGTTTTTAGCCGACTATGGCCATGGTTCATGACATGATGGATGGCCCTGGAACAACACCCCTCCGGGTCAAGTCTTCGGATGAAATTCCACATGTTTTCCCTCTGGTAATTTAACATAGCGAACTGGAAAATCACCATGCTATCAATGGGAAAATTCACTATTTCGACTGGGCCATTTTCAATAGCTATGTTAGTTTACCAGAGGGTATCCATTATATCATATCCCCATTGATATCCCATTGATATAAGAGTAAATGGGGATATCATATGTCATAAATTGGGATATCATATGTCATAAATGCTTGACTATGACATGGCAAGATGTATAGAGATCCTTTTGCCACAACATCTTCCCATGTCATAGTCGAAAAAATATTCTCATTGATATCCCATTCTATCCCCATCAAAAGATCTCAGTAAATCCCACTTAATATTCCCAAGTTCAATCCCCTGAAATCCCATGAAGTTCCCATCAGAACCCCATCAGAATCCCATGAAGTCCCATGAACTTCCAGAAAAACATCTTAAAATCCCATAAGTTTCTCCGAATCCCATCAGAATCCCATGAAAAATCCCCATGGACTTCCCCCTTCAATCAGAACTCCTCAAATCCGGATGATTTTCCCACGATTCGAGCGCCTCACGGCCACATTCTTCTCATCTTCCGAGTCAAACGCCAGGCTACAGCAACTCGACACTGCAAAGTCCGCACCTCAGCGGGGTAGTTTGGAAGCCAACCAGTGCTATTTTAACCACAGTTTACTCTCTCGGAAGTGCCATTGCCAAAAACCATCTGCTGTCGAGTGATTCTGGATATACCAACTGGTTGGAAGTTGCCAAAAATGGTGAAAATCCTGAAAATCGTCCCGTGGGATCGGGAAGCTGCGGCAGGATCCAGCAATAGAGCAGTGGCAGGTCCGTGTGAAATACCCTTGTTGCATTCATCACTGGTGCATGAATTGAAGGTTTAACAGGGTCTTACCATGATCATTGGTAAAATCAATTCTAGAGATTGTTAGCTTCAAGCCATCTCTGGTAAAATGGAGCATTTCTGGTAAAATTGGTGATAGCATCTGATAGCACATCGCACACCAATGGTCTGCAATTTCCTGTGATGGAAGGTCCAAGATATGCTGAAAAGATCTGGCCATGGGAGCTCGGCCTCCTGTAGATAGATGGAACTTACCATCTGGTTATGACTAACATTGCCATGGAAAATCACCATCTTTAATGGGTAAACCATCTATTTCTATGGGCCATGGCTTCCATGGCTATGTTAGTCATAACCAGATGGTATAGGAATGAGACGACTATGTTTTTTAATATGGCGTTCGCACCAGTAACGATCTGTGTCGACCTTTGTGAGTGTCCACTTTCCGGCCCAACTGCACTGCATTTTAGCCGTGCATTGGAACCTGAGACTCATGTCCGCGCGTGTTTTTTAATATGGCCACGTATCATTTTCACCGCATGCCCTGTGTAAAATACCACCTGTGGAACCTCCCAGTACTTGGAGATAATCATCCCAGCAATCGCAACTCAGCTTTCAAATCACCCACATAACTGTCTGGTTTTCCATAAATCTCTGGCTTATCACGACGATTTTAACATGTTTCACCACCTAGACTGTAACATTCCGGCATGCTCCTCCCCAGCATCGCGATCCGTAGTTAGAGTCCGCCAAGCCGCTGGTGCAACACAAGCCGAAGGGAAAGACTGATGAGGAGAAGTGACGATAGTTGGCCGCCGCCTGCGCCCAAAAGTGGGCTATGGTGCCCAGCGGGTCGCCATTGGAGTGGCTGTCACTTTGGCAGTTTGACCAGCTGAAAACAAAACTGGCATGAAAATCAACATCTTTTTCAACATGATAAAGCACATGTCTGATGGTAAAAGGATGTAAAAGGGCTATAGCTGGTGGACCTTGCTCCGCAGTGTATCGAACCCCGACTCTACCATCAGTGATGGTAGGGACTCTATAGCCATCATTCTCCATTTTGGAAGGTGGTCATCCTGTCATCCCCCCGTTTGAATACCTCCATGCACGGTGCTGGCCCAGCAGATCATTTTTGCGCTGAATTTCTCCAATGTTTGGTGCCTGATCAAACATGGCTACAAAAAATGCTGGAAAACTAACCCATTTACTTCGATGATTTTCCCATTCAAATGACCTTTTTGGGGATGTCCCAGCACATGGAACTGACCCCGCACCGCAGAGTGCGGGAGCAAGGGCATCCAATAGCCCGAAGCTTCCCTGGGCCGTGGAACGACCATCTTCAGCTCGCTGATCCCGAGGCGTAAGTGGATTGTAACCCCAGTTATAACTGTGGTTACCCTCTGGTAAACTAACATAACTATTGAAAATGGCCATTTATAGTGAGTTTTCCCATTAAAAATGGTGATTTTCCATAGTTATCCTAATTATAAGTGTGTTAATAACATGTTATACCCCACTTCCTTTTTGTGGGGTGAGCCACCAAGTATTCAATTACCAAAAAAAACATCATTTCGGCAAAAATATTTGTTAGAGCACATGCATGGGGGCATAGTCATTCTAACCCAATCGTTGAATCCTTGGGATATGCAGATCTATCGATGAGCCATTGACCAGTCATCCCAAAACCTGATCTGAGGAGAATCAGCGACTTTTCTGCTTCGCCCCTTCTCCACGACTGGGATTGTCGACACAAATATTGAAACCCAAAAATCCCTTGAAACTTGTCATAAAACCCCGTGGTTTATCATAATTTCAATGATTCTCCATAGCGTTGGTTGATAAGTTTGGGGATTACACCTAACAAAAATATGGGGAAGATCACCATCCATTGAGAGAATCCTGTTCTTAACCAAGCAGTTTTTTCAGCTGAAAAAGCCATGGAAGCCACCCGGGAAGATACCAAGGGTGCTGATTTCCTAGTAAAGGTGGGTAAGTGGGTAATTTTTCAGGTAGCATGACCGTCATGCTACCCCCCAAAAGTGGGTATCATGTACCCTCTGGTAAACTAACATAACTATGGAAAATCACCATTTTTAATGGGAAAATCCACTATAAATAGCCATTTTCAATAGCTATGTTAAATTACCAGAGGGTATCTATAATTTGGGTTGGAGTTTTGAGCTGATCGTCATGGGCATTTTACCAATCACAATGGATGGCATCTCACAGGTTTGTTTGTCCGTCTGAATGGGGGTTTGGTTCCGACCAAAAAAATTGCCATCTGAATGGGAAAATATGAGGTTCGAAACGGTTCCAAATTTGGGGTTACCCAAATTGACAAATCCATTTGATGGTTCATTATCGCGGTTGTTTCTTTGGTCCTATACCATCTATACCCAGAAAATTCGCTTGCCATTGGTTCAAAAGTTCCAATTTTTATCCCTCTGAAAAATTCATGATCAACATCCCACTGTCCAACTCTTCAATGGGATTGTACCCTCTGGTAATTCAACATAGCTATGGAAAATCACCATTATTAATGGGAAAATCCACTATTTCGACTGGGCCATTTTCAATAGCTATGTTAAATTACCAGAGGGTAACCAAGGGCTTGTCCATTTAGCTTGTCCAGTCACTGGGAAATTCCCCAAAATCACCTGGTTTAGAGCATGAAAAATTCCGATGGCTGATGGCCATATCATTATTGAGGTTTAGACTCACATTTTTGGACCCCAAATCATGTTGTCCTATCATATCCCATGATATCCTGCCATATCCGATTTAAACCATCACCATATAATGTTTGGTTTAATCCGAGTGATTGTTCATAAACAAAACCGATCTCCATTTATAGTATTGTTTGAATGGGATACAATAGAATATAGTGAGATAATAGGATATGATAGGATATACTAGGATATAATTAACGGAATATATATATAATAGTATATTAAATAGGATATATTATTATATTAGGATATATATAATTAATATGATATAATCCTATAAACTTACATTTATTGCTTCCTTCTCATTCGTTCCATTGGTTCACCCCCAGAAGTCACAGCTGCCTTCGCGCCCAAAGCGAGCCGTCAGGCTGGATTTGCAGCGCTTTGCGCACCGCGTGCGGGGCCTGACACAACTTACGGGTGCAGTTCTGGTTGTTAATGAATGCAACTATGGTAGCAACCCCCTATAATAAGTTGGGATATGGGGCCCCTGACTATGAGTTGTATATCCACTTTTTTTACTGGAACTGCAGCCTCAAGTCGGGATTGGTCTTTATAGGAGATTGACAAAGGCTGTATATTGAGTTGTGATCCATCCCCCGATTTTTTTGTTGTGGCTCAAGCAGCAAAAATGGAGAATACTTTGGAAGTTAGAATTTAGGTCAACTCTCGGATACATGCATAACATTTACCCATAACGGTAATCAAGCATAGCAATCTCCCCAATCCCCCATTGAGTTGGATGATGTTCGGCTTCCCATGGCGCCATTTCGTTGATGATCCCGTTTCGGGTAGACGTTCGGCCCGTTTTCCACAGAAATCTGTGGCTCCGTTTTCGAAACCAAAATCGATTCAGGTTGTTGATTTAACACTGTTGAATCCTCATACCTATTGGTTTGATCAAAAAAAAAGATGCAATATGACTCAATCCCATTTGGCTATGGATCAATACCTATAGAATTAATTATAGATACATTTTCAGCGGATGAACATCCATAACTACCAGCTAATATTGGGCTTCACCAGCACAGTGTTTTGACCCATCCATAGCTATCCTGATTTGTTGTGGTTGCATCCCATGTTGGGGTCCGTACAAAAGACTGCTGCCGTTGGTTGATAGATCTGGGTAAGCGGGTAAGCTACTGGCAAACTCTTCGATTTAATTGTTATTTCAGATCGCAAATCCAACAATACTCCCTAGTATCCCTATGAATCAGGCATTGTAGGCCATTATTAGAAATGATTCAACGTCATTTGACATGATCAACCATGATTAAACATCATTAAACATCGTTAAACCTCATTAAACATCATTACTGTAAACATCATTAAACCTCTTTAAACCTCTTTAAACGTCACTAAACACGATGTAACCGCCATAGACCCTGGCGTGCCTGCACCTCCACAGTGGGTTCGCTTTGCAGAACCCACACCGTGCCGCACCAGCGTTGCAACTCCTGGAGCCCAAACGGTACCACCAGTCATAGCTGGTAATGATAGCTGGATAGTGAAACCCCAGTCACCATGGTAATTTCATGGGTTTTGATCCCCAAATTGGGCTTGGTTAGATGGAATTTAAACATTGAGACCGGGAGACCAATAAGATCAATAAGTAAGGCAACGTCACATGCAACAACATTACACCCATCCAGGGTTGGAAGATGATTTTTTTCTGAGAGTCACACTGTTAGTTGAGCGGTAATTGGCGACTTCACCATAAGAATTTGGGATCTAGTCGTCAAGATTAGCATGAGTTAGTCAAAACATGCGGTTTGCATGACCAAATTCAGTGTTTTGTGAAAAACAATATAGGTTTGAAAGACTGTACTTTTCACAAACATATGGTTGATGATCATATATAGCTAACCAACACTTTCCGGGATTTAAGGATAGAATTAGTGGATGTATAAAAGCATACAAAAATGGCATTCAATGGATGGGTGTTCCATGAAAATATGCAAAAGCCATGGTGTCTACCATAAATTATAGGGTCCCACGCATTTGATCCATATGGGTTTTCTGTCAAAATGGGGGATACCCCAACTTATGGCAACGTCAATGGATGTTTGGATGAGATTAGATGATTTTTTTGGTTTGATCAAAAAACTGGGTTTGACAACGGGAACCAATATATTGATGCAAATCTACAAGTCAGGATCAAGAAGTCCCGGGATAAAATCCTGGGATGGGCTCGAAAATGGGCTAACCAATTGATGGCAATGGGCCAATGGGGAATTGTTTTATGCATGACTTTGGGTTACCCTAATTTTGGACAAAGCCATATTATGGCAATGTGTCAGAACTTGAAGCCCGGCTGACCACAGATTTCGCTGAGATCTAGTCTTGAAACAACTGAAAATAAGAAAACTGGAAGTTTGAAAATCGGAACAAATTTACCTTCGAAAGAAACATGCAAACACACATGGAAAAAGACTGGCAAACAAAAAAACATAAGCATATGAAAAAAATAAGACATTGTCAGCCACCTTCTTTTGCATGTGTTAACAGAAAACTTGCTTTTACTATGTTGGATATTTCTACCATGCAACCCAAAGATAACATTATGCCAGCACCAAATAGCCACTTTTTGGGGGGTTGCCCCCGGGTTGTACACTAACCAGTGCTTCTTCAAGGTTGACACTACATAAAGGAAGCAGTAGCAAAAAGCATGGTTTTCAATGCGAATCCCCATTTAATGAATATGTCAAAACTCATACATACATATGGTGCCCCACAAAAGATAAAATACAACTGTTTGGATGTTCCCGTTCTATCTTTTCGGGAGGCGCTATACATACACAGCAGTTGAATGGAGGCTATCTGATGTTTATCTGTTTGGGTATGTCTGAAAATGGGGTTGCATCCCCAGCTTGCCGATGATGAACTATAGGTTTTGGGGTTTCCCGCAACATTTCAGACAAACGCAAGTTTCAGATAGTTGCTATATTATATATCCCATTAAATCCCATTAAATACCCCTCCACCCACCAAAAAACATAAAACTCAAACCATGGTAACCTGGTAAAGAGTATGGTATTTATACAACTTTGGGACCATAGATTGTTTTCTGTTTCGGGGACTGGGATTAAATTTCGGTTGTGACATCACTACTCTAGCCGCTACTGGATGATTAATATATAATCAATGGTAAAAATAACATTAGTGCTTAACATCCAGTATTAATAGATCATAATATCATCTATACTAGTGCTATTATTACATATTCTTACCACTAGTATGAACACTAACAACCCACAAAAATCAAATACATTTAATTACATTTAATTACTATAGATATATCATATATCTACCATAAACATGATATATCCCCTATTGTCACCAAAAAATCTTAAATCACCACCGAATCCGATCCGATCATCCTCCGCAATCTCTGGACCCTCAGCCTGGAGCAGGCTGAAAGATGGGGAAAATACGGTTAAAATGACGGAAAATTATGATTGAACATATGAAATGGGAGTGGTGCTTGATAGACCCAATATCTGAAATCTGAAATGGGTTTCTGAAATGGGAAGAAATGGGAAGAAATGGGAAGAAATGGAGATGAACACTCTGCATACACAACCAAGAAATGATGTGATTTGGGTCTGAAAATGGGGGATTCTGTAGCGGGAGCACAGTGGATTGTATTGGGCTAATTCCCCTCCAATCCCGGTCGCCTAGAAGCCGTTGGGGTAGTTCAGGAAGTCAGCACCGCGCGAACCGCAAAGCGCACAGAGCGCTATGTTTTCAATGACCACAGCGGTCAGGTCTGCACCATTGGCCACATTGGATGGCTCACTAAAAAGGGGCCCCTCCTGAGCCAAGGAGCAGTTGGTGTTCTCCATGACTCAACGACCTGACAAGTCTGATGGCAGTTGCACCAGTACAAAAAGGGCTCAGGCGTTGAGTCTCTGTACTGTGCTCAGGAGAGAAACCTAAAAACGATCCGACCTGAACTTCTGGTGATCCAGCAGTGATTGCGAGCTCATGCAAGTCGCCATGAAAAAGATCATAAGCATTGATTGCGAGCTCACGCTGAAGGGCTCGATCTGAATGAAGGCCAGCACTGATTGCGAGCGCATGCTCCGCATAGTGCTCAAAGGATCCATTGGCATTCAAAGGCACCGAAGCGTCGCCCAAAGCATCGTCGACCTTCTGGTTCGCCGTCTTGCCAATCTTCCTGTTTCTTTTGGCAGCTATGAAGTTTGGATCATAGGCTACCGACCAGTGTCGGCTCTTCAGAAATTTCAAAAGACCAACTCTGCTGTCGCCTCGCTTCTTGGTGAAGGCATCAGCAAGGTCATAATCTGAAGCAACCCATCTCAGATCGCAGTTCACCCTCTTCAGGTTGTCACGCAGCTGGAAGGCTTGAAGAGCTGCACGCATGTTTGAAAGTCCAAGCAGCGGTGACTCGTTCACTTCAATGGCATCATAGCCACCTCTCGAGTCTGTGCAAAGAATTCCAGCTACCATACATGCTTGGTTCTCTGCTGATTCTACCAAGTCAGCACGTCGTTCAGGTCGATCAAGTCCAGCACCATGAAGTTCACTCCATAGCATTCTGACTCTAAAGTTCTGGTCCTCTGCTTCAAGAATGCTTTGAACTTCTGCATCATTGCTACCAATTGCCTTGCGCTTGAGCTTCCAGCTTCGCCAGGCTAAAAGGTTCATCAAGACCACCTTGCCAGACGAAACATCAGGTCCAGCAGCTAAGGTCAGCAAACCACCTGTGGAGTCTCCTTGAGGACGATTGGCATGTGATTGATCGCCCATGGAAACGAAAACCACATCAGTCCATTTGCGAGTACCTGGCAGTTTGAAAAACTCAAGGCAATGAGGGTCTGCACGAACTTCTGAAACCATTTGTTGAATCTCTCGTGCAGTTTCAATTGTACCATTTGTCACAACTTCAGTTAAAAGCAAATTGCAACGTGCACAAAGTTGAGGCTGTGTCTGTATGGCCAGCCACTGCAGTGCACCTAAAGCTGTGCGGCAGGCAGCAATTTCACTTTTGGTGAGTGGACCCTGTTGGCTCCAACGTTCTGGCTCAATTGAGACGTCCATCACGGTCTCAATGTATGCATCCTGGTTGACGCGGATTGAAAACTCTCCATTCTTCTGAGTGACAGTCTGGATGTCAGTTCCAGCATGTCGGTAGGAACCTTGTTTGGAAGTTCCCCAGCGGTATGCAGACAAAACTTTGTTGAAAATAACTTGCCATTCTTCGCTTTTTGTATCTCCAACAACATGAAAATCATCTACATGACCTCCAATGGCACCAAGCAGTTTTGGGAACTTGCCGGTCTCATCCTTCTCGGTTGATGAAAACCATCCCCACAAACATCTTTCACCAAGGATAGGCACAGCGCCTAAACCAACCAGCTTCTTGTGCAGGTCAAGCCAAAGACCTCTTGGAGCTGTGGTGGAGCCATATATGTTTCGGAGGATCCGCATGATACCGGAATCGGACAAACCAAGAGCTGTCCTCAGTTCTGCTACGCCAGTTGTCCAAATCTCCTGGTCAGCCTCTGTTGGCTGAGTTTGCAAAAACGCTGTAGCTAAGTCCAAACCATGAATCTGCCATTGATGATGGGTAGCAAGAAGGTAAAGGAGGTTTCGACCAACCATGCTTTGCACAGGAGCAGCTGTCTTGAAAGAACGGTCAAGCAGCGATGGGTGTTGGAAACCCAGCAAAACAATTCGCGCCTTGGCCTTTTTGGCGCCATCTTTGGTCAAAACTGTTTTGGGATCTTCTTGCGCTTCCTTCTTGGCTGATTCAATTTCATCTGGAGCCGTTTGTTTCCATGTCAAAACCCAGCGGGCACGTATGATTCTGTTGGAATCAACGGCACGCCTGATCTCTTCATTGTTGAGACACTTTCGAACTGCCTGGTTCTTCAAGAAACTGTCCACCTCCTTGGTCTTTGCTCTGGTGAAGAGCTCGCGATGTTCAGCTGTCAGCTTGGTCAACTGAACTTCAGCATTGTTCATTTTCTTGGTGAGGAAGAGGACGGGATTTCGTTCCAAGGCCTTTCTTTGACGGTGGGTCTCCACGTCAATGTCAAAACTGATAGTGAAGGCCTCTTCAGTTTCTTGAAGAGCTGAGAAAACATCAAATTCACCAGCTTCTTGGGCAGCATCTTGCTCAAGTTGTTCAACCCATTTGAGATCATAGTTGTTGATCTTGACACGCTTGACATCAGGAGCATCAGGGTGTGGTTCTTCCGGAGGTTCACGAACCGGAGATTCTGGCTCGTACTCAGTTTTGGCATCTGAGTCATAGTTGTTGACTGGAATGTCCTCAGCTGGTAAGTCCAGACCAGCAGGTTGGGAAGAGGACGGACGGTCAAGTCCAGGTGACCGTTGACCAACAGCACTTCCAAATCCAGGGAGCGGTGCCGGGTCAGGTACGCCAAGTCCAAGTGGCGACGATCGATGGATCGTCTTCCAGTCATGTTGAGAAAGACCCTTTTTGCCCCAAATTCTCATGGCAGGGATGACTGTCGTGTCATCAGGTGACTGTGGTAGTAGAGGTAGTTCTGCTTCATTTTCATCAGGAATCTCATCCGTGATGTCCACAAACTCTCGGTTCGGCACAAGGTCAGAGAGAGTCTTCATCTTGGAGACATCTTCGCGATTGTGAACATCATGATGAAATCTTTCCACTGGTGTGACAGGGCGCACACTGTGGACGCTACATTTGAAGAGCTTGCCTTGGAGAAGTACCCAAACGATATGACGTCGAGGATCATCTTTGTCTTGGTGTGGAAGAAGCTCAGTGAAGACCACCCTACCGGGGCCTATCCAGCCAGGTCGACTGGTGCGCTTCATTCCACCTCGAGGTCCTTTGTAGGCATCGCTGGGCAAAATCTTTCTCCAAACTTTCACCAAATCAGCAATTTGAAAATGCCGTAGAGGTTGTCTCGCCTTGCTGTTGTTCAATCTGGTGAGAACACGTTGAGCTCGAGTTTTTGTTGCAACATCCTCAGCGCGCTGTCTTGCAGCAACCATTGAAGCAAAAGAGGCACGTTCTCCAAGTTGAGCAAAAAGCCTACGATCTTCTTCGCTGATGGTATATGCTCGGCCAAATGCCCATTGATGAGAACTGAAGCCAGCAACAAACTCGGTTGAGTTCAAGGCTGATGCCGCAAGAGCTAGTGTCACAGTTGGGTCCTGGGCCAAGTTGTCCATCTGTATCGCAGAAGCGGTGTGCTTGAGCTCCCGCATTGCATTTTCGACCAAACCATGAGCCCAAGGTTCTTTTTCTGCAGGCAAACAAAGCTCAATGTTTTGGTCTCTGCAAAAATCAGCAAACTCCTTGGCCGAAAAACCCATTCCATTGTCAGGTATGATGATCTCAGGCTTGGGGTAAGTTCCCAGCCAACTTTTCGCAACAGCTTCAATCACCTGAGCAGAGCTTTCAGTGCGCAAGGCTGTGATTGGATAGGGCTCCATGAGAGGAACTGCCATTCTCAGCCGCGTGGCAAAGTCGATGAGCAGAAGGAACTTGACCTTCACGTTGTGGCCAGGCACGGCCCATTCAGAAGCATCTAAGCCCAAAGCTTGCCAGGGGCCATACTGCGCATGAGTTGCAGCAGGCGGCACATTCCCACTTGAAGAGCCACCAGGTCGTAGACCTTCACAAATTGGACAAGTGAAGTCCAGGGCAGCACGCACTTTCCAGCTCTCCAGGTTGGCATCTTTGACGATGCGAGCCAAGTTTCTGCTGGAGCAGTGTCCAGAAGAACGGTGGAAGTGGTTCAGTTTGGCTTGCCATCGTTCACGTTCAGCAGCTGATGGTGCATCAGCAGGGTTCGCAGCAACAATTGCATCGCCAGGCAAAGAGCTCGGCATTGAGTGATCGCCAGGTGGTTCTTCATCTTGTGCAAGTAGATCACCACCATCACAGTCTTCCACAGTTGCCACATCATGGAAGTTCATACGCTGCAGTTGTTGTTTTGAAACCGTTTGTTGTGCCCAAAAACGAGCAAACGATTGAACCATCTTCCAAGGGTAGTAGCTTGACTTTTGAGTCTCGCGCCCTTCAATTCGGCCATGACAATGACCACCAGTACAAACTTTGCATCGATATTGGCCATGAAAAAGTTCATCATTTGTTTTGATCATCCACTTCTTCTTGAGGAACTCGTTGTTGGAGTCCACCATGCCGTATCGACAGCCATCTATGCGGCAGTCATTCCATTCTTGCCCATGTTGTTCAAAAAGAGCTTGTATGGCAAGAAGGGGTTTCTGTTTCCAACCAAAGCAAGGGTGAGGCCATTCATAGTAGACCAGTATGTCGGGGTCCTCAGCTAAGGCCTCAGACAGAAACTCATGAACATGCCAAAGAACTCGTCGTTCACGTCGTCGATGATCTTCAAGAAGTTGTTGACGTTCAGGGCCAGCATAGTTGAGCGAAGTCCAAGGGCACCAAAACGTACAAGGCAGCGAAAACCAAAGACGTCGAGGACGATGTCGTCGGCGTAGAGCTCGAAGATGATCCCAGGTCTCCTTGCGGTAGAGGTCATAGCCAGCTTGAAGGTTGATGCGTCGAGGTCGTAGTCCTTGTCGATCAGAAGCTTCAGAAAGCCATGAATGCGGTGCACAAGCAATCTCCCAAAGTCCATCGCGATCGTCCAAAGAGAACGAAGTCAGAGAAGCCGATGCCATTGCCATCATAGTTGCGAACATCACCATCACATTGGCAGCCATTCGTTGTGTCATCTCGGCAGGCTTGATGTTCTTGTTGGCAATCTTCGGAACCTTGACATTCTTTGGGACTGTGGCAAACGCAGGCACCTGGTCATTCTCAAAGATGTTGGCATTCTTGAAGGTCTCGACATCCACAGACTTGAAGTCATTCTTGAGGACGTTGTCATACTTCAGGCCATCTCGTTCTCGTTGTTGGCATTCTCCTGGCGCTCGCGCATGAGCTGTTGAATCTGGTTCTTCTCCTCGGCCGTCAAGTGGCGTTGAAGATCTTCTGCACTCAGAGCTTCCGGATTCTCCACAACGCTCCATTGCGACGCCGGAGATGTCGTTGAAGGTGACGACCTTGAAGGACTTGCCTTGGCCTTGGCATATCCTGTGGTCGCATGCTTGTCCTTCTCGTAGTTGATGGTGACCTGAAGCACTTCTTCCGCCTCGATCAGCTTGATCATCGCCAGACATATCTGTTGGGTTGGACGGCAGTCTCCCATCAAAGGTTGAAGACGGTCCAACATGCGCTTCACCATGGCAGGGTTCTCCACTTTGGTTGCACCTGAGTGGCTTCCCTTCTTGGGCGTGTACTGGAGCCTCAAGTTGCACACTGCGCAATGCACCCACTGGCCGTGAGCATTGCCGTGAGGCTTCATTGGTGTGTGTGACCCGTGACAAGGCCATTGATTTGGATCCGCACGTGGATCCCTGCTGTCGAAGCCCATCATGCGCTCCGGGTCCAGTGCCCGTGGTGGAGCTTTTGGCGTCGCAGCAGTGATTGCATCCCGAACTTGCTTTTGGTGAAGTTCCTGCGACATGGTCAGGCGGCACGCAGGAAGCAGATGCGAACGAATTGGGGAGATCAGTTTGGTCTCGCGGACACATTGAAGCCAGAGAGGCTGCAGCATTCGCATCAACTCGGCCATGTTGGTGAGCATGAAGTGCCAACAGTTGCCTTCTTGATTTTTCCAAAACCTCTTGATCATGTACTCGGTCAGCTACATGTAAATCATAGAACTCCGCTGGATGAAACTCCAAAGTTTGCAGCTCTGCAGATTGCGTTTCACCCTCCATGACATGTATTGTAGGATGTCCCTCATGGTTGCTATTCCCCAAAGTCAGGTAGTGGACAATATCCCTGATGTAGTGACCCTTGTGGTTACATGGAAGTTGAAAAACATTTGGTTGGGGGTTCGTAGATTCCAAAGCCATGCCCGTGTTGAAGTCGATGGTTAAAGCTGATTCAGGACAATCTTTACCAGATAGGTGATCCATGCCAAGTAGAACTGGAACCATATTGTTTTGGTCGCCATTCTTGGGGTCCGGCAAACAATACATATGAAACGTTCTTTCCAAACCAGAAACCTTTGAGGTGATTGAGACCCTGAAGTTTGCTTGCCCCCAACAACCATTCCCAAAACGAAAATAAGGCCGCATGTATTTCGCAATGGTCACGGCAGCTCCACGATCCTGGGCAAGCACAGAGCTGATTAGCTTCTGCACACTGGTTTCAGGCCCAGCGCTAGCAGTTGCCCTGCAGTCGAGGAGGCCAAGGTTCGGCTTCATGTTGGTGGCAGCAGTGGAGTGAGCCTCAAGTGGTTCACGAAGTTCCAGGCCGTAGAAGGACTGGGTCTCAGCTGTGTATGCATTCACTGCCGGACGACTCGGCACATTCTTGGATTTACCTTTCCCTTTCCACATGGCATTCATGTCAACCACATTGAAGGATTTGCCTTTACCCTTACCTTTCGGTTTGCCTTTGCCCTTCATGTAGTAGGCGTCGGCCATCTCCCATTCAGCAGCATAGACATTGGTGTACTTGCCTTTGCCTTTGCTTTTCATGTAGGCAGGGTGGAACTTGTCAGGGCAATCCCTAGCAAAGTGGTTGCCTCCACATAGAAAGCATTTGCCATCATTGGGTGGACGTTGTTGTCCAAATCCACGGTCTCGTCTCAAAGCAGCGGTGGCCTTTTGGGCCTCAGTCCATGTTCGTTGAGCTTGTAGCGCAAGAGCTTCAGCTTCTCGTTCTGCTTGAAGTGAATCTTGAAGAGCAGGGTCATCAGGCGGTGGATCTTCAGCAGGTTGTTCAGATTGGCCATACTGAGCATCCTGCCAAGAATCCCAACTGGAATCCCAAGCATCAGTCTCAGTCCAGTAGTTCTCGTAGGACTCATCATTCCACCATTCATAGTCATAGGGCTCCTCAGAAGCGTGGTAGGCCTCATTGAAATAGTTTCCCATAGAGCTCCGCATTGAAGAAGCTTGACGCCCAAGGAACTGCTCATCCCAAAGCGTCTGCAAGGCCTTTGTGACCACATCGAACTCCAAGCTCCCCTTCGTAGAAGCTAAGATGTCCCTCTTATCTTCAGGACTCAAACCAGCAGCTTGTAGAAGACGAAAACCACGTAGCACCCCAAGGACGAAACTGTCCGCCAAGCTGAACTCGTTGATGTCGGAGGTCTCGAAGCCAGGTGGCACCGTAGAACCAGGAACTCCCACAGAGCGGAAGCTTGCAGCACGTGGTGGTTGCCTCGTAGGAGACATCCCAGTGCCATCACCTCCAGCAGCAGCCGAAGTAGACCTCGTTGGTGAAGAAGTCGCAGCAGCAGCGCCTGTAGGTCTCGACGGTGATGTAGGAGCAGCATCAGGTTCAGGTTCATCAGTAGCGTCATGCCACCAGCCTTGCCAATCATCCCGAGGAAGTTCTTCAGGTAAGTCGAAGTTCTTCTCATGTTGTTGGACTCCCTGTTTATCCTCGTAGAGCAGCAAGAGCGCCTCCACAAACTCAGAGTAACCCAAGGCTTCCCTTACAAGGAAAGTATTCATCTGTTCGCCAGCATCTCTTCTGAAGTTGAAGTACTGCTGACATGTGGCCGCAGCATTGGGCAAGATCTGCCTGACTAATGGCGAGGTCGCCAAACGTTGCAGCAAATCTCTGACACCGTTGACGTGGTCAAACTCCATGGTGGTCCAGTCCAGCTCATAGCCAAGAGTCTGGCTGGACCCTTCAGTCGGCTCACCAGTTTGGTTGCGCAGTACCTGCGCTTTTCTACAGGTGTAGCCCTCACATACCAGCAAACTTCTCTGGTGTATCTTCTCCAGGAACGCGCACTACCATCCCAGACCGGAACGTTCTGCTCCTTCTCAGAAGCCATGATGCCAAAGTGGCAAGTTGGGCCAAAGTGGCCAGCAAGGGCTCAAGCCGTATCGCTTGAGAGTGCAAAAGAAAAGAGTTGCCAAAGAGCTCGGCCAAAAGGTTGAAGGTGTCCTGGATGTAGATCCAAAACCAACCAAGCAGGCCTTTCCAATCTGGAGGACAAGTCACCTCAGGTGACGCTCGACAGGATTGGAGCACAGGCCTCGGAGCTTTGGTGCTCCGCTACCAATGTAGCGGGAGCACAGTGGATTGTATTGGGCTAATTCCCCTCCAATCCCGGTCGCCTAGAAGCCGTTGGGGTAGTTCAGGAAGTCAGCACCGCGCGAACCGCAAAGCGCACAGAGCGCTATGTTTTCAATGACCACAGCGGTCAGGTCTGCACCATTGGCCACATTGGATGGCTCACTAAAAAGGGGCCCCTCCTGAGCCAAGGAGCAGTTGGTGTTCTCCATGACTCAACGACCTGACAAGTCTGATGGCAGTTGCAGATTCACCTTCGAAAATGGTGGGAAAAACAATGATGCCCCAACGGCCATGTCACGAGATCCATCAATGGATTGGTTGAAGGAACAATTTCAAGAGACCGGGTTTTGGGCCTGTTAGTTTGGCCAAAGTTACCTGAGGCTTTCTGGGCAACTTTTCCTTTCAACCAGATCCTGGAAATCCTGAAAAAGTGGAGAAGGCATCCACAGCAAATATATGACAGAGGTGGATATGAGATATCAGTAAAATGATGATACTTCTCTTTTACGAAAAAGTTTGGATATCATACCCTCATGAAAACTATACGTAACATGGAACATCATGGAAGCACCCATTTGCAGTTCGAGTGGTCTTCGGGAGGTCCCAACACGGTGGTTTCTCTGCGAATGAATTATGGTTATGGGGGAAATAACTAGACAACTATAGTTTTCATGGGGTTTTATAAAGCAACAAACATAACTGGGAGCAACAAACATAACAGTCAGTAAATCTTTGAAGAACTGGGTGATAATTTAATGTGATAAACCGGTCATGACTGATACCCTCTGGTAAACTAACATAGCAATGGAAAATCACCATTTTCAATGGGAAAATCCACTATAAATGGTCATTTTCAATAGCTATGTTTGACATAACCAGAGGGTATCTTGAGATGTTTTCCCATGGGATCCTGTCGTAGCCCCGCTCCCCTCCGCTCCTGAGTCAAGGCGACTAAGCCCGTTGATCCGGACTCCACGGATGGTTCCTCCGCAGGATCTGCTAAAGCCGTGGTGGTTGAAGAGGATTCTACTACCCGGATCATATATTGGTTAATATATGGTTAATATATGGTTCATATATGGTCAATATATGGTTAATATACATATATTGGGGATTTAACCAGGACTAAATGGAATGATAAAGGGATACACTGAACACTGCTCAATATGCTCAATTGGATGAGGGATAGAGATGATAATGATTGATAATGGAAATGCTTTCTCCGACGACAGCATCGTTGTCATCCAAAAAAATCTCTCCCCAACTATGGCAATATTCCTCCGCAAAAATGGATGGAACGCCCCCCATCAGGTGTTGGTGGCACCATGTGGTACCCTATGTTCAGGCAAAGACATATTTGAAGAGAATAACACGTATTCGAGGTACATGTCTGATATAAGAATATCGGAGCTAGCAGTCAAAGATGTGCGAACATGTTTTTTTTGGATAGAACTATATGTTACTATGTCTTACCATGTTTGTCTTTCGGCCTTGGATACATGGCCATGGCCGCTGAACCACAATCTCTATGGCCATGGACGTCCCCGAGTCATGGCTTACTGGTCAATGATCGGCTGACCCATGGTTTTTATGTGGTACCCTCTGGTAAACGTTTACACAACGAACTGGAAAATCACTATTTTCAATGGGTAAATCAACTATTTCTATGGCCATTTGCGCTATTTTGACATAACCAGAGGGTATCTTTGGGTCTATCCTTGCCAATCTTCACCTGACGTTGACCCAAAGATGTGGGTTGCCTCTGCAGTTTCTTTTCCGTCTACGGTCCCGTTGAAGCCGTTGATGGTATCATTTGATGGCAAGAAATTGACCCATTTTCAACAGGGGAAGGGATTAACCCAATTGACATAGCTTAGAATTGGAATATGGACTTCAAACCGGAGTCTCCAATTTTCTTCAAATTCCACATCTTCAATTAGCTGATATCATGGTTGTAACACTTAAATAAATATATAGATAGATATATATATATATATAGATATAGATATAGATATATAGATATAGATATATGTATATAGATATAGATATAGATATAGATATATATATATACAGATATATATATATGGTTACCATTATTAACCATTCTCCATGTTCCACTCCCAACCACTTACGCCATCCGCACCTGTAAACGACTCTGCTGACGCCACCAACTGAGACCCCAAAAGAGTGACGCCACGGGAGTGGCCTGGGTGACATTGACATAGACACCCGATAAGAACAATGGTTAACAATTACTAATGTGATTAGTTATGGTTAGTGTCTTACTAATGTTAACTATATCTAATTACTATATTAAGAACAATTGTTATTTACTATAGTGATTAGTTAACGATAGTTATGGCTACTAATTGTTATTAATGGTTAAAAATGGTTAATAATCGTTAATATGAATGGTTAGTACTGTAATGGTTAGTAATAGGGATTTTATTGGGATTGATGGGATATTGATGGAATACTCTGGTCAATAATGGTTAATAAAGGTTGATAATGGCTATTAATGGTTCACAATGGTTCGCAATGGTTAATACATGTTATATAACACCTGTTATATGATGAATATTGGTTCATAACGGTTAATCATGGTAAGTAATGGCTAATAATGGCCAATAATGGCTAATAAGGCTAATAATGGTTAATAACGGTTAATAATTGTTAATAATGGCTTATAATATATATATATATAGGTCAATAATGGTGATAGATTGGTGATAGAAGGGATTTTATTGGCTACATGACCATGACCTATGGGAATAGGCTATGATCTTTGGTCGTCTTGACCAGAAGTCGCTATGACTGGAATAATGATTCAATTATCAAAACAATGGTCATCATCAGAAAAAAATGGTGATCCTCGATAAAATGTGTATTCAATGATCAACACAAAACAGGAAGATCATACCAGTAATTTGACTTAGTACATGGTTAGTAACGGTTAGTACATCTAGCGGCTACGAGCGTCGAGCACATTCCAGTCGTCACCTGGGGATCATTGATCTAATATGGCTGTGGGTCAAATCCATTCCCCACATATGAACCACATATTTTTTAAGCGGGAAAAAGATGTGCTCTGACAACTTGTATGAAGATTGCAACAACCCAAGGTAGTTTATCACATCCCCTAGGGCTGTGCACTGGGACCTCTGTGGGTGAAGCCAACCCAGGGGAATCCTGTTTGCCGTCCTAGGCCCTCCCTGGGCCATCCAAGGCTACCCAAGACTAACCAGGGATACAAAGACATTAAGGAAACAACCAAAAAAACAGCATGAATTATATTAAAAACAGATTGGTTTATGTTGTTTATCCATCAGTATGTGGTGGTTTGACCAAAATGTTTTTTTTCCATTGTCATAAAAATGAAAATTTGCAACATAAAAACCAAAAGTCTTCATATTTATTTTTGATCAGAATATGACGTTTTGAGATTGGAACATGATGTTTTGAGATCAGAAAATAATGTTTGGACCTGTGGATCATGATGGTTTGACCAGTTGGTTTGTATTTTCTGCCACCACCAAAAAAAATCAGATCCAAAAAATAGATCTTATCATATTTATTTTTGATCAGAGAACAACATATTTTGATCTCAGCATAGGATGTTTTGGCATGTGGGCCATGATGATTTGAGCAGTCGCTTTGTATTGAAAAACGATGTTGTTATATGTTTTGGTTTGTGGCATGTGGGGGTTTGGTCTACTGGCCATTTGAAATTTGCACATTATGTTTTGACCAAACAAAACATGTGTGTGAAAACAACAACACATATGGAAATATATGCATTTATTCCAACAGGGTATGACGCTTTGACATATGGATCCATAGTTTTGCTTCAGCACTATGATATGTTGACCATTGTTTCTTTGGATAGGTCACCCAAGACTGATGCATTTGATCGACAATAATGTGTTGGAATAGAAAAAAGTTTTTTGGGGATCCAATCCTCACATGTTGGTGGACCGTTTCAAAGGTATGGATCGGCCTTTCAAAAACAACAATAACACATTTCAACATTATTATTATTGGTGGCCTTTTTTTTAAATTTATGAATTGACCATCCAAAATATGATCAATGACTTACTTACTGTTAGAATTTTCAAAATGTGTGGTTGATTTGTTACATGGTGATGGAATTTACTAGATGTTTATTGAAACAATGTAGGTGCCAACATGCCAAATCAGCTGAACCGAACAAAGAAAAAACAAACACCCCAGGAATGTGGATGATTCATTTGAATTATGTGGACGTGGACCAGTTGTCTTTCCTTTGATGAACCATCACCCAACACAATTGGATGAATAATTTTGAAATGCTTCCTGAGTTCTGAATGGTTGTCTATGTTGAATGACCAATGCGTACAAGTGCATGCATGCTTGTTAACCGTTTTTAATATATAAACAACTCATTGAAACAACACAGTTGTTGTTTTCTGGTGATTGATTTTCCTGCGAGTTTGCGGTTGGATCTGTCCGGCATGATCCATCACGTCGAGACAATTCAATGTCCAGTTGATATTTGCCAAAAAGCATGGGTAAAATATGGTAAAATGGGGAACATAGTAAATGATTCCAAAGTCGTCACACGCTGTCCCAAGGGTATGTGTGTGTGTTGCATTCAATCCATCTTGTTTAATGGTCAGGTGCACAGGAAAAAAACACAACGCAGCTGTGCGGCTGTATACATAATGAATGAGCACAAAGCTGTCGTGCTGTGATCCTGAATCCTATAAACTAAAACAGATGCGACATCATCATAGCTGTGTACCACGTGTTTTCCACACCATGAGGTCATAGGCCATGTGAGCCATAGGTTTTCGAGGTTCAGGGTTTTGAAGTGATGCAATGGTGCATTCAGAATACCATTATACATCACCTAAGACCTAAGACCTAACAGACTAATATACTAATAACATAATAGGTATGTAATAGACCAACCATCGTCGTATAACAATATAACTATAACAGTATACCATACCACAATCACTACTAGGAAGTTTCACAGTCACCAGGAAAGGTGACTACAAAATCCAATGGCAGATGTCACTGCCCGAGCGCGACGGTTGCTTCAAACGAGCTGGCTGTCGACTGACAGGATGAGGCTTGTAGCGAATGTTGAACAGTGTCTTGCATGCACGCAAGATGCATACAAATTTGTTATTTGATTGGTTGTTTTATGGAATCAACTCAACTATGGAAACCGGGACACCCCTCAGACCCTCAATCAGTCAACGGCGGTGTGTACATCGACACATTGTTTTTTGTTTTTGAAGTTTCCCTTTCCTTTTACAACACTGTAGGTTAGCAGCTGTGGTACCGGATGTGAGTAGCTATGTGGTTGCACGCGCGCTTGAGAATCAGGCAAGGTTTCATTGGCCCAATGGCCCAGAAACAATCTGGTTTGCAAACCTTTTTGTCTAAGGTAGTGTGTCAAATGTTTGATTGGGAAGATCAATATTCTGAGCTGTACTTTCAGAAACAAAAAAAATATCCACATCCACTCACCCACATGTTGTTCTCCAGTTTTGGATAACACGTTGGTCAGGTTCCTGTGAAACACGGCAACATCAACATGTATGACCTACAGAACTTGCCAGCCTTTGTATTCCTCGTGAAGGGCATCACACCACATATATTTGTAGGGTGGGATGGACTGGTGTCTGAAGAGATTCAGAAAAGAAACAATCTTTCACGTGGTGGTAATAATAGAAGCTCATCGGACACATTGATCCCTGGGGCATCATTACAAAGTGAAAGTGGGCAGTCCGATATGGAGAACAGCGGTATGTCTGACATGGAAATGGGATCGGGATCTCAATCAGGGTCAATGTCAATCTCTGGATCAATAGATGATAGTGGAAGAGACGTTTTCTTTTTCGATGGTGATGGTGGTAGTGGTGGTTTTGGTGGCGATGAACAATCATTGGATGATCATGATGTTGGTGCAGCGGCTGGTCCGGGTATGCTCATAAGGTGGCCTGAACAAATGACACCGGGATTAAGGTTTCTACCAATACAATTTCCTCAAGGTGGCGAACAAGCTCAACAAGAACCCCAATCTGGAAATCGTTCATTGTCACAACTTTTGTTGTCTCCAAGCGGGCCTGGGTTTGAACAACGTGTGCGAGGGATGAACAACAATGAAGTTGTGAGGTTTGCGATTCAGGCTGGAAAGCAGGTGGTAAAATTACGACAGGAAAAAGACTTGCTGAAAAAGAAATTAAAGAACTCGGCACAAAAGTCACGTCGACTGGGAATGCGACTTCAGTTATCAAAGGATAAATATAAATCCGACAAGACTTCTAATCAACTGGTGGAAAGTTTGCATGTTGAAAAGCGTGGGTCGCGTCTTACCTTTCGTGGATCAGTTGCCCTGGGTGTGCGCAAATCTATGGGATTGGTATCGGCAGCAAGTTTCCCATTGACAGCACTGATTGACTCCTCGAGATGGACTGTGACAAGAGCTGAGGTGCATTCTTGGGCTTTAGTGATTGC